CGTCTTCTCTATACAACGGCGACGACAGTAATGTTAGAGTAGTTTTGGAGACGAAAGACAATTCAAGTATAATTACTGACAAAGAATTGAATGAAATATATTCTGATAATACCGAACATAAAGAAACCATAAATGCAAACGAAACTCATGTAAATTTAAATAGAGATGAAATTATTCTCCCAAAACTTATTGACACAAACGTTGATATTTTAAATGAGAAATCGCATGAAATAAATGAAGAAATGAAGACTGCATTCATTGAAACTGAAGAATTGCATAAAATACAGGTTGAAAATGAAAATAAAGACATCGTTAAAGCAGTCAAAGATAATTCATCTGCAAATGAATCGTCAAAAAGTAGACAAAACTCAACGATTAGAAAGAACTCTAAGGCAAGTGTTTCTCAAAAATCGTCAGCAAATGAGTCAGAAATTAGGGGTAATATCAGAAAAAATAGCGTAAGAAGAGATAGTGTAAGAAAAGAAAGAAAATCGTCTATTGATCTCTCAAACAGTAAGCAAACAATTAAGAAAAATGATAACACGAATGATAATGAAAAAGAAATATCAGACCAATCGTTGCAATACATGTCTGAGAATTACGAGGAAAGGAAAAAGAAGAAAACGGTCGCCAAAAAGGAATTTTCAACAAAAATGGTTGAAATACAGAAAAAATCTTCGGCTAAGAGTGTGGACCAAAAAGTTGAAGTGAATAATGCAAGCGATTCTGTAAAAAGTGATAATTATAAAAGTGATGAATTGAAGGAACCAAACAGTGATAAAATTGGCGAAGAAGTTAGTGATGGAAATGATAACGTTTCTGTTGACAACAAATCCATTGCTAACAATATTAGTTCAGAGACCGAACATATTGTCAAAACAATTGATTCAAATGGAGATAATGAAGAAGTGATTAAGAGTACAGAATCTAATGAAACAAATAATAATGATATCAATACTGAAGTAAATTTAGGTAAAGAAGAAACCGATGAATACGACAAATATTATGATCGATGGGAAAGTGACTCCGAAGTGACAGTTATTAACTCAGATAATAAAATATTGACCGAAGATATTAACAATAACTACATTGAAAATACTGATGAAATGAATGAAACGAATATTATTATAAAAGAAAAGGAAAAATTAAAAACAAAAACCACAACTGATAGTAAAGTGAAAGCAATTAATAACTCAAAAAGCAATGGATTAAAAACCACAGACAAGTCTTCGGATGTAAAGAAATTGAATCGAAAACCAAGTGATGCTAAAAGGGTTGAGAGGAAGGAAAGTATAAAAAGTACTGTTAGTTCAAAATCTAATGAATCGAAAGCAAATAAAAATAAGTTGCCGACAAAAAAGGTCGAAACAAAACCAGCGAAACCTAAAGAGAATAGCATTAAAGTAACGGACGATAAAAAGGCGAATAATATTAAAACAAATTCTGTTAAAAGTAAAGAAGAAAAAACGAAAGAGAGTACGAAAAGTAAGCAGAATATTAACGACAAGCAAAGAAAGACGAGTCAAGAAAGTAATACAAGTAATATAAGAAAGAAGAGAGAAATATCGCAAAGTAAACCATTGCTGTCTTCAAGTGATTTAAGCCTAAATAAAACAATTGATAACAAAAATGAATTGAAAGCAAATTCAATGAAGAATTCGGTGTCAAATCAAGATATAAATACTATAAGTACTCGCAATGAGAATCAGAATTTGGAAAACGTTTCGAGTGAAGAGTCTATATTTGACTCGGCGTTGATTATAGAGGGGATGGAAAGGGAAGACTCGCACATGTATTCTTCATTAATGGATCAAATCTATCAAAATGAAGATTCTGTGTCACGACTGGAAAACAATAGCTGCAGCCCTAGTAAAGAGCATATACAGCCGCTAGTGCGCACAGTACCCAGCTCTACACCGGTATTTAACGTAAAATTTTGTTACGGTCATTTACATCCCTTTCATCTCTGCCCTGTATAGCCGAGAGCCCAACTAAGCTCCGCACTGTTGTGATATGACAATACTGTCAAACATAACAGCGAAAGGATAAGACGAGTGCGAAGAGCGAGACCCAGTTCTGATGGCTATAAATCGATTGATCCAAATATCATAACACAAACAGTGGAAAAAAGTTTGCGAAAGTAAGTCACCAACAAAAACAAAAACTAAATAATTTATAATTTTGATGCATTAATTAACTCATTAGCGAAATCAATATTACTGTTATGTAAAATTCACTTTAGATACCAATTGGAGCGCAAATTGTTTGAAGAGTTACACGATTTGAAGCGCTTCCAAATCAGGAGCGGAAGATCTAATGAGATATTAATGGTTAAGAGACTCGTCGACAAGTTTAGGAAAGACGTGAAGGCGCCCGGAATGAGTGATTTCGGTGGTGTCTATAGTTATAAAAATTATGAGTTCTATCTCTACGGTAAGCTATTTGTAAATTGCATTAATGTTTGATTGAATACATTAATACAAATTACTGTTTAGGGCCACTATTTTTATAACAAAAACTAATTACCAGTAAATAACACCAATAATTATGACATTTATAGATCAATTGCGGAAACTGTCGACTTCTAACCAGGGAAAGGTCGCGTTACTGACCCGGGTATTCCTATTCATCAATTATTCATAGAGTAAATAGCTTTTAATTATTAATTGTTTTGCTTTTAGTCAGTGAGTCATGAAAACATACAATTAATTGTTAATTCAAATGAGAGCATAACTCAGAGTAACCCTGAAATGATGCAAAACACTGTTGGACTCGATATAAATCAACACAACATTGATATGAAAGCAATTAAATCTCATGATAAGGATCTCGGCATTGAAAGTGAGCCCAAACTATCTCTGATTGCGATCAATGAGAACACATCGCAATCCCAATGCACTGAAAGCGTGGATATTTTGGACAAGAATATTATTTCTCAAATAAATGATAGCGAAACACAAGACACAAGTAATGAAATAGATTCGGGTAATGATAGAGATATAAATTTTGATAATAAACCAGAACGTGATTATACAAACTTTGACAGAAGCGGTTTAGGGCTTACCAGTCATACCAGTCAACAACTGGCTGAGTGTGGTCTGTGACTGGTAACGTAACTGCTATAGCATCTGTACCTACTGTAAGTTTCTGTAAACTACTTTCTACTATAAATGGCTCTCAGTGTGTTGTCATCAGATCTCCTATTTCTTGTTGTATTCAATAGATCTATTATAACTCGAAGAGTCAGCCAGAGTATTAGTCAAGATATTAGTGAAAGTATTATAAATGATTGTTTGCATGAAATTCAACAAATAGTTCGGACGGAAAGTCGAGAGTCGATGAATATAAAAGAGTTAATCGTTGAGGAAAGCGATGAGATTTGTGAGTTACGGAACGAACAGGAATTGAATGAACGATCGCTAATGCAAGCCAAACATGCAATCAGTTATAAATCAAGCGATAGTCAAACTGATCTGATCTCAGTATCAGAAGCCAAGTCGACAATCGGCTCATTGAGAAACGAAAACAGTTTGTCGAGAGATATCAGTTCACAATCAGTTAAATCAACAAAAGTCTCAAATATAAGAAAAGATAAACTTTTGAGTGCAAAACAGAGTTTCAAAAAAGAATGTTATGTTGTCACGCCTCGAATCAACCCGAGAGCCGATATGTCCCGTCTCTACTTTCCCTACATTTACTGGCATTGTTTTAAAATGCAATTTATGGCCACATCTCGACCCATGACACGCGTGATCGCCGACAATATGCTCTTTACTAGGGCTGCAGCTATTGTTTTCCAGTCGTGACACAGAATCTTCATTTTGATAGATTTGATCCATTAATGAAGAATACATGTGCGAGTCTTCCCTTTCCATTCCCTCTATAATCAACGCCGAATCAAATATAGACTCTTCACTCGAAACGTTTCCCAAATTGTGATTCTCATTGCGAGTACTTATAGTATTTATATCTTGATTTGATACGGAATTTTTCATTGAATTAACTTTCAATTCATTCTTGTTATCAATGGTTTTATTTAGGCTTAAATCACTTGAAGACAGCAATGGTTTACTTTGCGATATTTCTCTCTTCTTTCTTGTATTACTTTCTTGACTCGTCTTTCTTTGCTTGTCGTTAATATTCTGCTTACTTTTCGTACTCTCTTTCGTTTTCTCTTCTTTACTTTTAACAGAATTTGTTTTAATATTATTCGCCTTTTTATCGTCCGTTACTTTAATGTTATTCTCTTTAGGTTTCGCTGGTTTTGTTTCGACCTTTTTTGTCGGCAACTTATTTTTATTTGCTTTCGATTCATTAGATTTTGAACTAACAGTACTTTTTGTACTTTTTATACTTTCCTTCCTCTCAACCCTTTTAGCATCACTTGGTTTTCGATTCAATTTCTTTACATCTGAAGACTTGTCTGTAGTTTTTAATCCATTGCTTTTTGAGTTATTAATTGCTTTCACTTTACTATCAGTTGTGGTTTTTGTTTTAATTTTTTCCTTTTCTTTTATAATAATATTCGTTTCATTCATTTCATCAGTATTTTCAATGTAGTTATTGTTAATATCTTCGGTCAATATTTTATTATCTGAGTTAATAACTGTCACTTCGGAGTCACTTTCCCATCGATCATAATATTTGTCGTATTCATCACATTCATTTCATCAGTATTTTCAATGTAGTTATTGTTAATATCTTCGGTCAATATTTTATTATCTGAGTTAATAACTGTCACTTCGGAGTCACTTTCCCATCGATCATAATATTTGTCGTATTCATCCGTTTCTTCTTTACCTAAATTTACTTCAGTATTGATATCATTATTATTTGTTTCATTAGATTCTGTACTCTTAATCACTTCTTCATTATCTCCATTTGAATCAATTGTTTTGATTGATTTGGTTTCTGAACTAATATTGTTAGCAATGGATTTGTTATCAACAGAAATGTTATCATTTCCATCACTAACTTCTTTGCCAATTTTATCACTGTTTGATTCCTTCAATTCATCACTTTTATAATTATCACTTTTTACAGAATCGCTTGCATTATTCACTTCAACCTTTTGGTCCACACTCTTAGCCGAAGATTTATTCTGTATTTCAACCATTTTTGTTGAAAATTCCTTTTTGGCGACCGTTTTCTTCTTTTTCCTTTCCTCGTAATTCTCAGACATGTATTGCAACGATTGGTCTGATATTTCTTCTTCATTACCATTCGTGTTATCATTTTTCTTAATTGTTTGCTTACTGTTTGAGAGATCAATAGACGATTTGCTTTCTTTCCTTACACTATCTCTTCTGACGCTATTTTTTCTGATATTACCCCTAATTTCTGACTCATTTGCTGATGATTTTTGAGAAACACTTGCCTTAGAGTTCTTTCTAATCGTTGAGTTTTGTCTACTTTTTGACGATTCATTTGCAGATGAATTATCTTTGACTGCTTTAACGATGTCTTTATTTTCATTTTTAACCTGTATTTTATGCAATTCTTCAGTTTCAATGAATGCAGTCTTCATTTCTTCATTTATTTCATGCGATTTCTCATTTAAAATATTAACGTTTGTGTCAATAAGTTTTGGGAGAATAATTTCATCTCTATTTAAATTTACATGATTTTCGTTTGCATTTGTAGTTTCTTTATGTTCGGTATTATCAGAATATATTTCATTCAATTCTTTGTCAGTAATTATACTTGAATTGTCTTTCGTCTCCAAAACTACTCTAACATTACTGTCGTCGCCGTTGTATAGAGAAGACGACGAAGACATGGACGGCGTGTAAACCCTAATAGCTTTCAAATCGTCGCTTTCGTGAAGCAATTTTCGTGTTTTCTTCTTCTGTTTTTTAAGCGGCGGAACCCGTTTTGAGTGACAGATCGGGGTATTAGTGACGTAGACGTTAGTAATGATGGCCTGCTTTAGAGTAGAGGGTCTATCAATTAGAGGCGTTTCAAACTCGCGAACATTTTTATAATGACTTCCATTTTCCATGTGTGCAGAAGATATTGGTTCCGGAGTTTGAGCCTTATTTGAGACAAGTGTTGGAAGTTTCGGTGTTCTCGAGCTGTCGTGAGGTTTGGGCTGAAGAATAGAATTGTCTGCAGAACTCTCTTCTCTTGTCTTCCATTCTTCTAAACTCTCAAAAGGACTGCTATTTTCAAAGGCTGTCAGCCCTTCGATCTGTGGCTCGTCTGAAGAGTATCTGTTGGCGATTGTATTGTTTGATATGTTGCTAATCCTGGAAGCGGGAAGTGCTTCGTGAAGCAGCAAATACTTGGCCACCGCTCGGTTCCCCTTCTGTAGAGCCGCGTCTAATGGAGTGATGAAATGTCCCTTAAGTTTCATAACAGTGTTAACATCGGCTCCGAAATCGAGTAGAATTTTACACATTTCTATATTATTATTAATGGCAGATATGTGTAAAGCCGAACGACCATAAGAATTGGTGGCATTCACTGCCGCAGGGATTTGATCCAAAAGCCATTTCACTAATTCTGAAATTATTATACTATTTTGAGCAACAAATTATTTTGTATATTCTGTATATATCATTATATATCATTTACACAATTCTTATACCAAATGTAATCATATTAAAAGTAAATTATGTAATTTAAAATTATATTTATATTGAATAAGTTTTTAGAAAATTATGTATAATATTAATAAAATAGTAAATTAATGTAATATTTCAAAAATGCATTTATAATATTCTAAAGAGAGAAAAACTTTGCAAACCTTTTCTGCCAGACTTAACGGCTTCATGTAGTGGTAGATCTCCGCGAATATTCCTGAGCCATAGGTTGGCGCTGTGCTGACCCAATATCTTAATGGTTTCGAGTTGACCCCGAGATGCGCCTAATATTGCAAAAGTTGTTATAAAAGTGCATAAAATTGCAAATTAGGAGACGAACCGCAGTGGGCGGCAGTCCTTCCTTTGTAATCCTGAAGGTTAACGTCAGCCCCGGACTCAATCAGAAGTCTTGTGCAGTCGGCGTGACCTAAAGTGACCGCATAGAACAGCGGCGGACATCCGTTGGCATCCATTTGGTCCACTTCTGCACCGCAAAGTGTAAGCAATGTTTCCGCGCAATCAATATGTCCTCTACTGGAAGCGCAATGAAGTGCTAATATATGACAATTTTATCTGAATATTCTGTGTATAACTTATGGTTATTTTGTTTTTAATATTAGCCTATAATTATCGCTGACCTGTTAGACCGTCTTTGTCTTTTGCGGAGACATTAGCGCCGGCATTGATAAAAGTGAGAAGTGCTGCGGAACTACTACCTGAAGAATAATTTATTTTATTGATACGAAGTTCTGTGTCGAGTGAATGACAATAACACATATAAGTTATTACTAAAAGGATTGTTGGATTGAAAGTGAATGTGAAACTAAAACAAGTGAATGTCATATAAGATGTGACTCACCAGCGCTGGCCGCCCATAATAGAGGAGTCCTGCCGTCGCTGTCCACACAGTTTACGTCTACGTCTGGGCTCTGAAGAAGTCGATTGAGAACTGCGAGTCCTATTGTGGAGTCGTTGGCGACGCAAATACCGCTGTGAGGGCTACACATCTGCGCGCAATAATGTATAGGAAATGCCCCGTTATTGTCAGCCCTCGATGGATGTGCGCCACTCTATATATGATTACATATATTGTGGAGTCGTTGGCGACGCAAATACCGCTGTGAGGGCTACACATCTGCGCGCAATAATGTATAGGAAATGCCCCGTTATTGTCAGCCCTCGATGGATGTGCGCCACTCTATATATGATTACATATTTTTTTTTATTGCCATTCATTCAATCGATTTAATCAATTAATAATTACATTTAACAATAAGTCCAGACAATCGAGTTCTCCACAAACTGTGGCCCAATGTATGGCTGAATGGCTCTCATTATCGCACAAATTAACGAAATTAACATCACTTTTGTTAATCAAATAACTAGTAATTATTTGATTGCCATTTATGACACTTAAGTGTAGAGCCGTATAGCCGTCGTTGTCCTGAAGAGGCAATAAATTGGGACTCTTCTCAAGAATAAGGTCCGCACATAAGGCACTCGAGTTATCGGAACAGTAATGCAAAGCACTTCTATTGCTTTTGTCCCTTAAGTTCAACAAATAGGACCACTTCTCTAATACTTCTTTCAACTCTTCAATCGATTCTTTCTTAACATAACTAATAAGCGATGAAAATCTGCTTTCATTATTAGACGGCTTTTCTCTGTTCTCCATTTGCTGCGACTATCACTTCATTTATTAGGTTATAAAAGTTTTGTCTAAATAAACGTGTTATTCGTTACAAGAATTATACAAAAGGCGTTTCAATTGTAAGATATGCTTAAATAATTATTAAATTCGTATAGCGTTTCTATTTATCCTAAAGTAAAAATAATATATTTTAGTTTGTATATAAACGACCATGTTTAACTACTTGAGCCGTGTTACCCCTTACCTACTGATAATATCATATTATGCTAGATATTATTGATATGCGTGTTGTTGCAATTGTGTAATATATTTGGATCGATGTACAAATTCCGAGACTCGAATTTCAATTTGCTTAAAATGCCCATCACACTATTTTGTAACCAATGACAACCATTAGTGACACATTTAAAATATTCTATATAAATATTCTGTATATTCAAATAGATATAGAATATTACACATTTCCCTTATTTCCATGAACCGCACTTTATATATTCTTATTTAAGCAACAATATAAAAATTTCTCAGATTTACAAAAATATTTTCAAGAATTGAATTCAAATTCGTTAAT